TGTAGATCGTAGCCAACTTTTTCTTCTATCAGACGGCGCGTCTCTGATTTGATATCAAGCTCCTTGATCCATTTTGAATTAACTTTTGTGCATGGCGAGAGAAAGGGATTCAGTTTCATTTTGTTGCATATGGATTTCCAGTTTTCCCAGCACCATTTGTTGAAGATGCTATCCTTCCTCCATTGCATGCTTTTAGACCCTTTATCAAATATAAGATAGTTGTAGTTTTGTCTCACTCAATTTTACCAAGTACCTTTCCAGCATCTATTGAGTTGATAAACTTTTCTCATTTACTCTGCCAATATAATAGATTGATTTCTCAATGTCACTGCGACTTTTGATCAAGACAGAACAATAAACAACTGCTGTACCTCTGCACTTTAAACATGAGGCAAGAACTGTGAAACAGCTGTTGACAAACACTGGTGTGAAATTGGAAGTCTGGGACAGTGGTCCCAGAGAGAAGGAAATCAAACAAGGAGAGCCCTGTGCTTGCCCAGCTCACTGCTGGAGAGAGGCCACAGGGAGGGGACAGGGGACCCAAGCAGAGCCCAGTCCTGTGGTTTCCTCAATGAGGGATTGTTGAGAATTTAGAGAGATTAGGGCAACTAGAATTGCAGGCCAGAGTACATGAATGCTGCGCCGGAAGTGAGCACAGGTCTGTTTCCTGTGGAGTCTTCTGCTGAGCTTATAGCTGTGTGCATGTGAGAAGCCACCTGGAAGCAGTAAGAGCTACCACCAAGGAACAGGCTCCATCTCAGGAGACTCAGTCAAATCCCAGGGCCAGGAATAGTTTGTGTTCCCACCAGCAGGGTGAAAGTCCTTTTCAAACCTTGGGTATTGAGTACCATCCTCAGAAGGTATTGCCTCCACAGTGGCACAAAATTAGGTGCCCCTGCTCCCTCCTAAAAAAGCTTAAGGGCTGGCCTCCAGGAAGTCACAATTTCCAAGTAGTGTAACAGTGCCTCCAGAAAAAGTTTGAGAAGTTGGCAAAGGACTGTCCTCAGGCTCAACTGACTTTAAATAGTCTTTATTTAGTTGTCTTTAAATAGTTGGAAAAAAACAATAGTATTTTGTTACATGTGAAAATTACATGAAATTCAAATGTAAGTGTCTTTAAGTAAAATCACATTGGAACCCAGGCACACTAATGATTAAGTGCTGTCTGGCTGCTTGCATGCCACCATGGCAGAGTTGGGTAGCCAGCATAAAGATCTCATGTCTGCAAGCCTGAAACGATTATTCTGTGGCCCTTAACAGAAATCATTTGCTGGCCTCTGTTCTAACTGGAACATGACTCTGCTTTCCCCAGAGCACTTTTAAGTAGTGGCTGTTTTCCTTCCCCTTACCCCGTACATCAGGCCTGGTGACAAGCTACTTGTCCTCCTTTCTACTCCTCATTGCTTCAGACCAGTCTTGCTCCTTCCCTCTGACAACCTCCCCAACGCAATGTCCTATCAGACAATATGGTTTTTCCCAGCATCTACTGAACCCTAGCCATTCCTATTCATTTCCCTCTGATGTTATTTCCTGGCTCACTGTCTGCCTCTGCCAAAATGATCCCAGTCTTAATTCTCAACACAGCAGGCAGAGTAACCCTATTAAAACAAAGCCAGAGCATTTCCCGCCTGAGAACCCTCCAGTGGCTCTTCATTTCACTCAGCATAAAAGCCACATTCCTATGGTAGTCTGCAAGGCCCTACTGATCAAGTCCCCCCTTCCCTTTCCATCTCCTTCTGTTGTCCTTGCCCCTCTGTTCCAGTGACACTGGCTTGCTTGCTCTTCTTTGCACAGGTCAGGCATGCTCCCACCTCAAGGCCTCAACCTGGGCAGTTTCCTTAGGGTGATGGCTCATCCACTGGGACCAGTGGTTCTCCAGGCATGGTCCTCAGATCAGCAACTTGTTAGATATGTAAATTCTTGTGCTTCACTCCATTTTTACTGAACTAGATAGAAACTCTTAAGATGGGGCCAAGAGTCTTCATAAAAATTAACCGTAATTGACAAAAACTATAATATGCGTCAGTGAGAACTGCTGTCCTGGATATTGCTACTTCCATCACCTCCTGTGGGTTCTGTTTAGAGATTACCTTCTCACCTGGACTCCTCTTTGAAACATAGTCACTGCCATTAATGCCAACTCATGGTCCTTGCTGTTTCTTTAACCTTATTTTAAAATATTCTGATACGCTTCTTAGATGCACTTATACTCAGTAATTTACTATTTGATGAATTTTCTGTCCCCTCTACCCCAACAATCAAATATAAGTTCTTTGTAGGCAGAAATGCATGTTTGTTTTGTTCATCAATGTAACCCAGACACTGAAGTTTATGGTACATGGTGAGCAATATGATGACAGGGAAACTCCAAGCAAGGTATCACACTTATGTCAACATACTCTGTTCTGTCATTCCTAGTTGAGATCTAGGTGTGCTTTGGTGGTACTCTTGAACCTTAGGCAAAGGCTCAGGCCCTCCAAGCCCCGAGTTATCCTGGTCCTGCACATTCTGAACCTATCCAAACAGAAGCCAACACAGAGGTGTTGGGATTATTGAAGGAGGGATAGTTTGTATTGCTGACTTTTGAATGGGAGCAAATTGTAGGCAGCAGTACAGGAACCAAATACAGTGAATTATTACTAGTGCTGCAATAATAATTTGTAGCTCAAATCTTCCAGAGCTTTCTGTGGTTGGAAATGGAAGGTTTTTAGAACATTATCAGGGAACAAACGGATTGCTGTTTTCCAACTCTAGTTACATACCAGATTTGCATGTACAGCTTTTTAAAGAACACAGGCACCTAGGCCCTCCACGCCAAGCAGTTATATTGTGGTATGGTAGAATGCTGATGTACAGTGAGGGCTGAGAATCGCTGGGATGGATGGCAGAAAGGTTGGCTTATAGGGGAAGGAAGGACTCCTAGAGATTTTAATGCCTTTGACTATTAGTGAGTAACACAGCTTCAAAAACCTCCCATCTTAAATTTTTATTTTGCTAATTTAGTAAAAAAAAAAAAAATACAAGCAAACAAAAAGCCAATGGAGATGACTTTTATATTAATTTGCAACAAAGCTCTTAATCAAAAGAGGGATAGAAAATATACGTAGAATTAAATCATTAGAAGTAAAATCCCCTATATGTTGCACAGCTTCAAAATATGAACCTCCAAGGCTAAGAATGATAACAGGCTGCATTAGCCAGAAATTTAGGAGTACTGACATTAGTATTCTTAATCTTTTTAGAGCAAAGAAGATTTTATGAACATCTGCATTGAACCTGACACTGTCAGCAAAGGAGACTTCATAAGTATAGGGTAAGTGGACTGGGGTTTGCAGGACGTGGGGCTTCTTTAAGTAGTTTGAATCCACTTCACTGAGTAGTAGATCCAATAAAGGCCTGTCTTGCTTGGTAACTTGGTCATTCTTCCTTCTCTGTGGGGTTGATAATATATACAGTGTCTCTGCTTCAGTCCTGTGCCTTTTGGAAAGATCAAACTGTAAGAATAGTCTTTTGCTTTAAAGAATTCGGTGTAGCACACATATTGTCAAGAACTCTAGTTTTAGTGTCAAAGAACTGAATATAAATCTTGATTCAGCTACTCACTGCTCTTGTGATTAATGTCATTTAACTTTTCTGAATCCCTTTCCTCAACTAGAAAATGGAACAACATAACCATCTCTACTGATCTTGGGACATTTTTTAGTATCAAATGAGAAAGTTTATGAATTGTTCAGCACTTCACAGTAGCCCTTACTATTCATGTCCGTTCACCTTGTCTTCCTATTCCCAGGGCATTAATGAAAAACTTGAAAAGGTATTGAGTACCTTGGACACTTCCCAGGCCTTTTTCTCTTTCCCAGTACAACATACCCTTCCAACTCCTGCTTGATTTGTTAAGTCCTACCTCTGCCAGAATTTTATTGGCTAAGAATACTATAAACCCTCCAACAGTCAAAGCATCTGAGGAGCTGGCTTGTTCCCATGCCAACTGGTAATCTGCTGGCTCCATCCTTCTGAGCTTTGTCTCAGCGCTCCCTCTCGTGCCCATTTAGGGATTGAACATTTCTGCTGCAGTGGCCAGGTCTCCATGGCTACCTCATTATCTACACCAGCACTGACAGCAGAATGGTTTTCATTAGTTTGTAGTGTTCTTGCCTTTGGTACAAATTCTTCACATACTGAATAGCTCCTTCTGCAGCCTTTGATTCATTTGCTGTATCTGGAGTTAAGGGATTGTGGAAAAGCCTGTCCCTCCTCCTCCCAGTGTCTGGAAACCACACACCATCTTAACTGAGAGTCTGGCCAGTGTGACCAGCCATATTCACATCTCCTTAAGAACGCTGACATCCAAAAACAGGAGAACCTCATTATGTTGATTGAGCTAAGTGAAGTCATGTTCAGCAGCAGCTCAAGTTTCCCTTTGGTCCTTATAGGAAGTGAACTCATAATGTATGTGTCCTTTGGATATCTAAATAGAATTTGATGAAGTTGCTTTCAGAACTCTGAGTTCCTTTTACTAAAAAGTACTATCTCCAAGTAATGCAAGAAATGATTAAATAGTGGACAACTGTGCTCAGGTTAGCTTTTCCTCTTTTTCATCTTAACCATGATTATCCATAAAGGGTATTTGTGCCTGAGGTTGAGTATGTGTGTATTGGGTACTTTTACTCCAAGTCCATTTAGTAAAGATATAACATGCTAGGTAGATTGTCAATGAGTGTAGAGAATCATTAGATAATGTCTAAGACTAGTTTTTAAACATGAATATCTAACTTAAAGGAGAAAATATTTTTATTCTTAAGTAATAATCACAGAAACCAAATAGAAGTTTAGTATGTTTCCCAAATAATTTAATTAATTTTAATTTTTAAATTTGATAACTATCAAAGAATTAGGTAACATATGGAACGATTTAAATAAAGAATAATCAGGGAAAGACAGGGTTAACTTCATGCACAGCTCTGAATAGCAAATAAGCTTCTTAAGCTGAAGACATCTCGGTGCTGGGCAAGAAATCACTGGGAGAAAAATTTATTCACAGAAACCACCACTTCATAGACCCTCTGACTACTTTTACCATCTAAAACAGAAAGAACTTGCTGTATTCTTGCAGTCTAATGCAGTTGCCATCACGGGTTTCTAAGTTTGCTTTTTCTGTCTCAACAGAAGTAAAAAGGTAAGAGACCCCAAACTGCATGCTGATGGCACCGAGTGTCTCCAAGCCAGCAGGTGCACCCTGCTTCTTCCTGAGGTGAGGAGGGCAGGGGCAGGGGTCCTATAGGATCTTTTTGGTCTGTCTTCCTTTCTTTTCCCCTTCTTCTTCCCTATGAATTGTCCAACCTTTAGTGTCTAATGTGCTGAGCATTTTGCCAGGGTCAGGTCATAACAAGGGAAACCTGAAAAGGAGGCAAAATTCCCTTCTGAGTTATAGATTGGAATTGGTCTCCTTCTGAAGATTCAGTTTTCAAGTCAAGGTTCTTCTATAAATTGATCTTTAGTTCTCTTGAGTATTTTTTCATGTGTCAATAATGATGTAATACAAAGAATTCTCTAGCTGGTAAATAATGGTTTCATTTTAACATGTTTTTATAAAGGATCTGGAAGCAGTTTTCAGTTCACGGAATTTTTCTGTATTGAAATTCCATGCTTAGAAGAATAACCTATATAATATAAGTGCAAGTGGAGGTATCTGAATTGTAAGGCTAGTTATTTAACTGGGGCACTCCAGGAAAAAAAGACACTACAGGCTGCCTCTGAAGACTGTCTGCAATGCTACTACATTTAAACAGGAATGTAGGTAAACAGGAATGTCACCATGTGACAGGCACCACAGCTTCAACATAGCAGATGTTAAATGCATGAATCATGGAAGAGCCTCATAGACTCAAATATTGATAAAGCTTAGCAAGTCTTAGAGAAAACTAATGAAAATGATCATCAGTTGACATAATGGTTTGTCTTTCTCCATTTCCATTTGAGAAAGATTATGTTGTTATTTGTGAATTCTTTAAAGATGTGGCATATTTATTTTAATAAATATTTGAAAATTTAACCTTGTTGTTCTAGTTCCAAAATACTGAGGAAGGGAAGAGATTGAAGTTAAAAAAATTCCTTTTTCATGAATAGTAGAATTGGGATGTGTTCAGGAATATTACTGTATGTCATTAGTGGGCACCGAAATATTGAAAGAACAATAGCATAATCCCACAGAGAAGACCATGTTTTCTGTGGTGAGCTGCTGTAGGGCACTGATGTGCAAGAGAGCCACCCTGAACATTCTCGTCCCCACAGGGAACAGAGGGCTCTTTCAGCATTGACAGTGAAGAGTACGAAGCGATGCCTGTGGAGGTGAAACTGCTCCCCAGGAAACTGCAGTTCTTCTGTGATCCCAAGAAGAAAGAACAAATGCTGCAGAGCACAGCCCAGTGAGTGGACAGTGACGAGGCCTCTCCGAGACCACACTTTGGGCCACCGGTGGGACCAAAAGGGAACAGATGCCTCAGCTGTCCCCATAGTGTTGTCAGAGAATCCCAAGGGCATTTTCACAGCAAATACCCCGTCCTCTCCAGCAGTGCTTCCCATAGTGCACCCTGCCACCTGATCTGCAGTTGGTATTCCATTAGCGCATGCTCTCATTTTGGTGTGATAGTCAGTCCCTCCTAGATAGTGATTTCCCTCAAGCTTGTCAAGGACATTCTCACTCTCAGTGGTTGGAAAGGGCTAGAGCTTTGTTATCTCCTTGAAGTGCACCCATGTATGGAGAACAGGATCTAATTTTTTTTTTTTCTTTTGGTACCAGGGATTGAACCAAGGAGTGCTTAAAAGTAGTCAAATCCCCAGCATGTTTTATTTTTCGAGACAGGGTGTCTCACTAAATGAGACTGGCTTTGAATTTGTGGTCCTCATGCCTCAGCCTCTGGAGCTGCTGAGATTATAGGTGTGCACCACTGCAACCAGCAGGAAAGCAGGATTCTTAAGATTGTCTAAGATCCTCCATCCCTGTTCTTTGATTGTCCGGGGGAAGCAGTGCCTTCCCCAGGTGCCCTTTTCTATGTCTGGCTCCTCCATGGGTGATTCTACTTTGTGAGCTTTGGTTCTTATTTAGCTAGTTTCAATTCTATCCTCAATTCAAAAGCAAATGTGAGGTAGTTTCCTTCTTCAACCATGGCTAAACTATTGTAAAATGCATTTTTTTTTCTTTCTTTAAAGAAGTGCTTCTTCAATGTTGGTTGGTTTGCATGAGAACCACTTGGGGTGCATGCTGAAAACTGACTTGGGGCCCACCCCAAACTTAACAACTCAGCCAGGGATGGGCCAGGAGTCTGCATTAGGAAAGCTTACTTCAGCTAAATCTGTAAGTTGATCCTTTAACCTTACTTGGAGAAAGTGTTTTAAAGTTGTGTTCCACCAACTATTCTGCTCATGTTTTCCCCAAAAGTATTTGAAAAATCATGTATCCCATCATACATCTATGTGACATCTAAAATTTTTGTGGGAAGTTAAATAGTTGCCAAAGTATGTACTTTCTAATGTCATGTAAATATTGATGTTTTAAAATAACTGTTACATCACTCTTTTAAACATATCCAGTGCAATTTGACACCTCTCATTCATTTGTAAAAATAAATGAACTAGTTCTTTAGTAGTTTAAATTTTTAAATTATTTTTTCTCCCTGTGGGTGTATTTCCATACCACTGTCAGTAAAAAGAATCTTATCATAATGTAATCTATTTTTATGCTTGACATTTTTTATCAAATGCTTCTCATCAACAAAAAATTTAAATGGAAATGTTTTTTTAGTTTTTACGTGTTTACAGAATAAATGTTACCATAATTATTGGTATAACTGATTAAAACTAATAATTAAAAATATTAGAATGTTCTTTATCCTAATTAGTTCATTTACCTAATACGTAAGTGGTATTTTTAGCTAAGATGGGGGCATTTCAACATCAGTTATATTCCTTGTTTCATTGTTTTACACTTATGAACACTTAAATAAATAGATGGAAATAGAAAGAATTATAACAATGTCATAGTTCTTTGAATTTCTTTGGAGATACATGGCAAAAAAACAGTGCTCTCAACTAACAACTTGATTAGATCTTCTTTTAGTGTGTTTCAAGCAGAGACTGAAAACCACCCGATTAGCATCTTTTCTTTTGTTCAGTGCCTCTAGAGGGAATTGCACCATGGTAAGAGTGGGGAGATGCATGCCTTTCTCATTTTAAGAAGAGGGGTAAGTGAGGAAAAAGAGCTAGCGACCTTACTACAGGCTGCTCCTCAGGAAGTTCAAGTGTAAGGGCAGCACGCATCCTGCGTGCCATGCAGAGTGAAGGCCACCGGAGAAGGGGAAGGGGGATACAAGGTATAAGAAAATAAAATTAGCATATTGTGTGATTCTCTAACATCATGCAGGACCAGGACAGAAGCTGGCTTTCTTTTCTCTTGGAGCCCCGACCTGTGTGTGTGTATCACAGTTGGGGAAGGATATTTAACCACATTAAGAATTTTACTGACTTATAAATATGCCTCGTTTCAAATTTTATTTTTTTAAAATTTTTGTTAATTATCAATGGACATTTATTTATTTATATGTGGTATTGAGAATCAAACCCAGTGCCTCATACATGCAAGTGCTCTACCACTGAGCCACAACCCCAGCCCAAATTTTGTTTTCTTCACACTACTTCCCATGAGGCCTTGGTTTCCTTATTATCTCTTCTCTGAGCTGTCCTTCTCTAGAGTGCCCATGTAAAAAGACATTTCACCATGTAGCTATTCTGCAGCCATGCTTGTCAGCCAAAGTTGGAATGCTCAGCTGTGCAAACAAAGGAGAACCTGGGTCCCTTTCTGTTTAGTGCAAACAGATTAATTTTGCTCAGAAGCTAAGATTATTCCTATTAAAAATATAGTAGATGCTTTCTACAAAATATAACCAAGAGTTTTCCTTTCCTGACAGTTACACTAGTAAGTGCCAGTGCTTCAGGGGTGTGCCTGATGTACTGGTTCTCACTATCATCTACGATGTGGGTATTAGTTGGTCGCCTCACTCAGAAGGCAGCAACCTGGCTTTGAACACCAGCCGTTTGACTCTGGAACCACCACTGTCAGCAGTTCACTCTATACTGGTTTAAAATATCTCCCCCAAAAAGTTAAAAATGGAATAAAAGTTTAATATACATACACACCTGTACATGTTGTTTCAAACTAAACTCTGATAAGAGATTTCATGAAACTAAAGGGCTTCTTCTAGAAGTTTCCTGTGATTGAGGGTGCATAGCCCTGGCTCTTCCGGATGGCATTTTAGTCTCACCTGTGGTTTTGGCTACTGGGATGGAGGGCAGGCAGCAGCTCTTAGTTGCCTTTGTCTTCACTGTAAGCAAGGCAGCAACCAGCCCCATAGGTTCCACTCCCGGACTGGGCCATCATTCCTTCCTACCACAGACTACATCTCAGAGTAGGTGAAGGACGGAAGCACACATGTTCATGTTAAAATGTGAACTTTAATTGTAAAAATCATTTTCTGTAAATATAGTTGTAACAACCTCTCTGCACACAATTTAGTTCAGATATATACAGATATGATATACATCGATGTTATTTGTACCACAGAACAAAATCAAGAAACATTTACCCTTAGCCTTGGGACTAATCAGCTTTCTTTAGGCCTTTAAATTACTACCATTGAAAACAGAGAGAGGAGGGCAACACCTGGGAACTATCTGATTTCATCACAAGGTGAAGACTTAAACACAGATTCCATTTCTCTTATTGCTATAACTCAGGCTGGGGTGTTGCTCACAATAGGGAAAGGGAGGTAAGCTGATCCTAACTCAGAAAAAACAGGTTTTCCAGGGCTATGACTGTTTCTTTTCCAGGAAAGGTTATATAGAAATTTAGCCAACAAGCGTTGGGTAAATATAGGAAGTTCATTTTGTTTGCCTCTCCCCGCCCACCCCACACCGGTCACCCATCCAGACTCATCAGAAGCAGAGTCCTCGCCATTCCCCACTGATGGCAGTTGTGCACATGCTAGGCCCAAACTTTTCCTAATGCCGTCTTCAGACCTTTTATATATTTCAGCTTTGCTTTATTTACCCAAAGGAGTTTCACTCTAATGTCAGTCAAATATACTTGTAACCAGCTGTTACCTGTGTGTGAATTTTTCATTTTGTGGATCATCTCTGACCAATTTATAATATTCCACCTTACCCACATCCTTCAACCGTTCTTAGAAAGCAAAGTATATATTCATCATTAGTCTAAAAGGCATTCTATAGCAAACATAATTAACACCTTCCTACTATGGTACTAAATAAACTCTCTGAACTTAGGGTATAGTATCTCTAAAAGCCCATGCTATACTGAAGTTCTACAATAAATTCTAAAAAGATGAAAGCAGGGCTTCACTTCACCATCATTGGATGTCTATACAGCACTAGAAAATTCCCAATCCCTTTCTAAATTTGCAATTTTACCTCATCTACCCCTAAATTCCAGCCCTCCAAATAAAGTAAAGTGCTAGTTTTAAAACCACCTCCCGTTCCCACCTCTCTCCAGGTGACTGAGAGCCTAATCAGAAGGATCACATTTACCCTCTTCTGTCCTAGAGTCCTGCTGAAGCTTGGTGTGTGTCATCCTTCCTGGGACTGTCAAGTTTATCTCCTGGAGTGCTGTTCAGATCACACAGCACAATGTCCTTTTCACTCTCCCAAACAACGTTTCTAAGGGTCTCACCACTACAGAATTAGAAAGCTGCCCATTTCTAGGATTATAATTTTGAAATCTCTTTCCATTTCAACATCTTCATACTCAGTTTATCACATAGTAACATCAATATAAAAATAAACTTCCATTTCTTATAAGAAAAACATAAACTTAATTCACAGTTAGCCTTTTCCCACAACATTTAGTGCTCCAATAGCTCCTGGGAACAGAGGTATATTAGTAATAAAAAATGGAATAGTAAAAACTAATAATTTGGGAGTAAAAGGAGCCCTTAACTCCTCCCCTCCCCCACCTGAATCAGAGAAGGATTTTCCTGAAATGAGAAGGGTGGGGCCTGCCCTGCCAAGGTAGGCTTGCAGGTCTGTAGTATGTTCACCACAGACATAGCTGCAAGTTATGGCGGGGTGGGGGGTGGTGGTAGGTATCTCTCAGGTTCCAAGCTTACTAGCCTGGAACCTAACAGGGAAAGAGAAGCCCATGCAGGCATGCTGGTCTGCATATTTTCTTGCATGTTTGCTGTCAAGCTGAGCATTGTCTTACACACTGTCCACTCATTAATGTCTGCCTCTCCAGGAATGGTCTACACTAGACTTGGAGTGTAATCAGTTCCCTGGGCAATGTATTTTCAAAGGAGAAAAACAGTCCCTGAGGTCCCTGCCTTTTCTCCAAGTTTGATGTTCTGCCAATGAAGGTTAATTCTTTACCACCCTTTATGAAATGTTCCCTGAAGGCCTCAATGGAAAGGTGAATAATTTCACATTTTTATTGTATTTGAAGGGCTTTCAGTGTATCAAGACATGAAGTTCATTCTCTAGCCACCAGAATGAAAACAATGACTTAGCTATGATTTATCTTTATCTTCTAGCTAAAATATCACAGGTAGTTACAGAATACATGGATCTTCACATGTGGCATCAGGCAACATCTGCATCTGTGTGCTACTTTTATCTTTCCCATCATGATCTTCACATGGTTTATAAAAAGGTAAGTTAAAGATGTAAGTTCTTATGTAAATTACTTCTATCAATATGCTAATGAGTTTGGCCTCTCTCCCTTAGCTAGTTAGGAGAAGAGATACCAGAATGGATGGAGAGTGTGGGAGGCAGATGCCTTCTAGTTCACTGTACTCAGAACTGTACAGGTCCCAGGTGGGATGCTGACATTAGAATGGATCCCCAGGCCAGGCCTACGGAAAGTTTCATATTTAAAGCCAAAGCAAATACTAATCAATGATTTGGTGCATACTTTTTAGTCTGGTAGGATATAAGTCCTGCAGGATCTGACTCTTTTTATTATCTGCTGAGCCTACAAAATTGAAAACATTCACTTTAACAGGCCTTTGTCCTACTTAACATGGATATAAACAAATCCCAATCCTGATTCCAGTCCCCACAGGACTCTTTCCACTTAGGGATGATTGGGCAGCCCTAGGATCACAAGTCAGCAGGTGGTCCATAGGGGGCACAAGATCAGGCTCAGAGCTCCCCAGCAGGGTCTGGTATCTTATGCAGGGACAGGTGAGGGCCACCAGCAGAGGGCTCAAGGATCCACACAGCCCTGCTCCTGAGGT